CAAAGAAGCTATAATTCTCTTTCGTCAATCCATCCGATTTGAACTGTCTCTGATTTCGGTTCGGAGGTGGGACTGGGATCCCCGGGTTGACAATTCTCTGCACACTGATCAGAAATTAGCAATGGACGATTCCGGGCCGCGCTTAGGTTGTCCGCACCGTCGTTGGGCCTTGGCTTCCCGCTCTTCCTCTGTGATCTCCACCTTTTCATCGTAGAACAGGCGTTCGCCTAGCACGCGGCTCTGGGACCTGCACCGGATTGAGCAGAGACATCATGAATGGGCAAGAAACATACCACTTGCGGCCATCCGTCCAGCGCATCAAACCACCTTTTCGGTCGGATTCCTCCCAAACATACACTCGCCCAGCGCCTACTTGCTCGCGGTCTTCAACTGAAAGGCGATGGATGATCAGCGGAAGCATTCCCCGACGGACGGCTTCGACGACAATCAGCGCGTCGGAAACATTGCGTATTTCTGGGAAGGAAGGAAGTAAGGAATAACGCAACTAAATTTAAGCGCTCACTCACGAAGTGCTGGATGTGTGAGGTCCTGAAGCAATGGTTCGGGACTAGAGTTGGCCCGCGGCCCTCCTTGTGTGTTATGGCGGCTGTGGTTTCGGTACGACATTTTCTTGGGAACGCGGTGTCAGCTGGGAAGATAAGGCAAGATAAGGCAGACGAAGAGAGGACAGAGGGAGATTTGCAAGCGCGCCGTGCTTGACCTCGGGCTTTATAATCCAGAACCATTCACGGCAGAAGAAATGGAAGAAAGATTTGATTAGTCGTCCACTGAATGCCAAAGTCCCTACTGCCGTTGTCGTAAAAAGGCTGCCAGCGAGGCGGCAAGATGAAATGCACGCTCGCCTCCGTATCGATGAGGGATGCAGCTCGTGCTGTGCCTGATGCCGTCGTCTGACAAGAGTAATCACCATGAGTAAGAAGCTGTTTGCCCTGCTGGCTATTCCAGCGCAGGTTTTAGGTGTTCACCACTGCCGAACCGTCCAGTCCCGTTCATAGAAAACCGGCAATAAACTTTGCCGAAAGTTGTCTCGCCACCTTCGAGTTCTGTTTGACTCACGTGATTTCGGCTAAAAATCCACACGTCCACCTCACCCTGGATTCAACCCCTGCGTGGTCGTCGCCACCTCTTATCAAAGATCACGCATGAATTTCTACTTCGACATGGCATCAGCACTTCGTGGCCCTGTCCAATCGGCCGCCTTCACTCGCTCCGCTATTCCCGGACGGACTTTCATCAGCAAACTTTGTCGAGCGTGTAGTCCAGAACTGAAGCTGTGGAATCTGATGGTTTCAGGGATGTGCGGCAATCGATCGGTTGCCCGCTAGACTACATAGCGATGTGCAGCGCATGGTAAACAGCTCAGGACTACAGTTTTCACGAGCGCTAGGCAACTGATAGTTTCCCGCGGCGTTCGTGACGTGTCTTCACACTGCGAAAACGTATTCCGCAACGGTCCCTGTTCTCGGCGGTAAAATATCGGCGGGCGGATGGTTTGAAGTGGAGCCGTATCGTGACCTTCTCTCGTCTGAAAGCATGAAGCAGGCGTTGGATCCGCTGAAAACTGTCATTGGGACGGTTTGACTTCCATATTTCACCTCGGCCTCTTCGGACCTGCCATTCTGATGTGGCTCTCAGCCCGTGGATCCCCGGTTCCGGTGCTCGCTCAATGCAAAGACTGAGTAATCCGCCAAATCAGCCACTTCACCAAGATTTCGCGTTACGATTTCATTGGCTCGGAACCAATGAGAACCGTCTCATGAGCGGTGATCTGTGCTGATGGTGTCGATCGCGCAAAGCAAAGTGTCTACCACACGGGTTCAAGGATTGGATCGGGCGTATAAACCTTCGAACACGATGACCGCTCGATGGGACCGGTCACCGAAATGGAAGCGGTTCACTGGCACACGCACCTTGATATGGTCTTTGAACAAATGCTGGTAAAAAAAAATCGGATGCGAAGTCTTTGCGCTTCTCGAAAAACTAAATTACAACGTCGCCGTCGACTAATCTTGTCTCAGAACGAGGCCCTCGCAGGTAAAGTGTCAAGAACCTGCAGCTGTTTTCCAGGAGATAATCTATCGTTTCTACGCGCGATCAAGATGGGGCTTACAGGTCGACTCAAATCTCGAGAAAGCCCCAAAAGAGCTCAGGTATGCTTTGGCCTGGACGTTGCAGTGCAATCACCAGCGCACCCGATCCAGATCTTTGACCCCTTGTGGTGTATAATTGCAGTCGGGTGTAGGTAGATCGCTCTCCGGGCTCAAAGATATTCAAAGCATGGGCGAGTTTACTTATTCGTTCTGGTTTGAAGGATCTCAGAGCCTCGGGGAGAGTCAACAAGCTTCAGGTACGCCCCTCACAGGCCACGAGGGAGAATACGCTCATTCCCCATCCCAGAACATGACCTTGACGTTGACCCTCATCAGATACCAGTCACTCCCTCACCGGTTCCCTCTGCGCCGCCGGCTTCCTTCTCGCCCTCACTACATTCAAATACATTCGAGCCTAGCCCGTTCTGCATGGAAGAATCTCAGTCGCCTCGGCTCAATCCTCTGATGCCTGAACTATTGCCACAGATGATGCCGTCACCACAAGCGCTGCTAGCGCAGCCATGCTTCCGCTGCGGGACGTCTACACTTGTCTCGCAGGAACATTCCATTACGCATGTTCCGCTGTGCAACGCCTGCGCTGCATATGTTTCCCAGCGCTCACAGCAGCGCATGGCTGAGGATTTACTGGCCAAAAGGCGGCGTGACGGGTTGTTGGAAGATGCGGCGTCATCCAAGGGCACAAGACGGTGCCCACATTGTGGTACAAGGAGGACGAGTACCTCCCAGGACAATTCGGAGGATGTGATCGTTTGCAATGCGTGCGGGATGTATGTGAAGGGACAGGGACAAGAGAGGGCCGAACGAGTCGAGGATAGATCGGGTGAGGGCGATGATAGCGATTTGACGAGAAGCGGAGTAGGCGCACCCGTGCCCTGCATCGCTATTGCTGATATCTTCGCATCAGCAGGCACATGCGTCTGTCGATCTTGAACGCGCTCAGACAGGATCGTAGTCGGCGCGGGACGCAATGCCAGTTCTGCTCGAAGAGGTCGATTGGATAATTCCCTCTGTGTTATCTTGGCTAGTCGTTGTCTCCATGTAAGGCCGGTGTGTGAATGATGGGACCAGAGGTATTATGAAGCCGTAAATGTCAACGAAAGTCCTAGATTATCGGTGTGTGTCTGAGCGAATTGAAGACGTCGTGTTGGCCGCCTGCGGGGAGCGGCATGCTCATTACACGCTGTACTAGCCGTTGGCGCGATGCGTCTGCCGGATAAGTCAGGTCATTGAAATCGCCACACCAGCTGTGGGGAGAAACGCACCAAGAGGAATTGCCGTCGCGCGAATCCCTGACTGCGCCCTTCTCCACCTCCTAGGCTCTCTAAATTGCGAGACTCTTCATGACGGCCTTGCTGGCTGTGCAGGTCTTGATCTTCACCTCCCGGACGCGGGAATTGCCCCTCATTTGTTGCCTGCGAGCCCAGGATAGACGGCAGGGCTCTCTCGGTATCTTGCTTCCATATTCCCGCAATGGCCGGAATGTTTTCTTGTCGAATGTGCCGATCCCTATGGTCGTGGAAACGAGCCTGTCTGGACCGCAGCGATCCTCCCCTGAAATTTGCCTCCACGCCTCCAGAAAAAGAAGACCCTGAGGAAGATCCAAGGAAGCCCGTTTCCGCACCTTCAACTAAGTTCTGACCAAGGGACCAGCATCAACGATCGATTTCTCGTTACTGAAGTTCTAACACTGGCCTGATAGCGGAGGGGGGGTGGATATCCCACCAAATCTTGGGATTGCTTCCTCCGCAGGAGATGTCCATCGCGCGGGGAAATACATGCGTGTAGGACTGTTTTGCTTTCTGGTGCCCCCCTTGGTAATCAAATTCCGTGTTCCAAGAGAAGTGCCCTCAGCTGGAGAGAAGAAAAAAAAGCCGATACGACAGACCATGGTCAGCTCGAGGGGCACCAGGAGATTGGGTGTAACGGTTCGCCATCGGGGACTCGGACAAATGTGGGATTAAGCTTGGTCGTCATCTGTAGTGCTCCGTAGGGAAAGACAGCAGTTAGCATGAGTCGAATGTCAGTCTGTGAGTGCAAATCAGCCGCCTTGTGTGGCTGACGCTGCAACCGCAGGCTGGTCATCAAGCTGACGTTTACCGCAGCGTTAATCTCTCAATGAGACATGCGAGATGAGTCAAGCTCCTCAAAAAGGAGCAGGCGATGATGTCAGTGCGTCACTCCCGCTAGTAGCCTTGGAGGGTATGACCCGTGGCCTCCCACTTTTGCTGATATCAGATAAGTCTACTCTGGCCAAGTATTCGTCTCGATAATCATAGAATATATTAGATGATCTAGATTTGACCTTTTAAGGCATTTTCTAAAATTCGTCGGTTACTTTGGTACTCCGCCTCTATAATTGATGCTCCACTTCACATGTGACATTCACACCAACGCGAAACGTTTCTGACTGTCGCGCTCCTCCGGTCGGATGGTCCTTTTTACTGTCACTACTCCCCCTCGCGGTCACCCCGCTGAAGCGCATATTTGCGCGTCTCACTTCGAATGTTTTGTTCCGAAGATAGCCTCGGATTTCTTGTAAGCTGGGAGGGGAATTTGAACATCGGAGCGCGACAAGCTTGCTGTTGCAGTGAGAGACAAAGCCGTGACCGCCTGGGACTGGAAGGCGTCATTCTCGCCCACAGTTTGTTGATATCAGAATTCAAGACAGAATTTGAGGCTGGATTATCCAAATTCTAGCTCTTCCATTATGCACTTATATGTAATACAACCGGGGGATTTTATCACATGCCTCAAAGCACCAAGTTCTAGCTCTTCTAAAATACTCTAATCTAATATACACTAATACCACGGATAAATTCGCATCCTGATCGATGTGTCATCATTGTCTCCAACGATGGAGTGATGATGACGCTGAAGACGATGATGACACGAACTTGCGACAAGCCCACGAAGAGCGAACACGAGACCCGACGACTCAGCAAAATAGCATACTATTCCTCACTCACTCAGCTTGTTTCACCTGCTTCTTTATGCTGCTCACCTTCCTGGACAACCACGACCGCCCCGGTGAGTTTGACAACGGATACAAACAAAGGCGCCAACCTTCGCAGTCTAATCGACTGCAACGATATCTTCCGAAACTGATGTAGCGACTGTCTAGCGCTTCTCTCTGGTGACTGTTGGGCGGGGTCAGCATCTCCAACCGAATCAGTGAGTATCCGTTCTTAAAATCAGAGTCGACACAGTAAAACTGACCGCAGATACTAGTCATGGGGCCCATGGCGTGCAGACCGTACGACGAACAACACCCGAGTAACATTATGGGGGACCACTACCGCCACCTTGCTTCTGATAAGGCGGGGGGCTGATCGGGAAGAGTCTCCAGCAAGGGGTGCGTCCGAGCCCCCCATATTACACCCGGCAAATAATCGTATGCTGACTCGAATTTGCAAGGAATGGGCGGTGTTTCTTCTCAACTGGGAGCGGGAGCAGCGAGCAGACAGAGGGGTGGGAAACAATAATCGACGTGGTGCATCAAGAGGTCGGCGCATCGAACAGACAGAGACAGCAGGGCGTGCGTGTTACCCCTGTGGAGCACGGCGAACGCTTCAGGGGAGGTGCATGCATCGGATGAACAAGTGACCGGTATGACTCGCTCTGGATCCCAACTCGTTTGCGTATGTCGGGGAATACTGGTTAGTCCACATCGTCTTGGACTGGATCACGATCTCATCATCTGCCGTCCTCGCTGCACAAGGAAGGTTCTCATTACTGCTAATGATATAGGGCCATGCGGTGGTGAGTGTCATGCAGGGATACTTCAACCGCATATCTGTGCTCACCCTGTTGCGCAGTCGACAAGTATGCCAGTCTCTCGACGATCGTCCAGTCATACAACAATGCGACACTCAATGCCAGCAACTGGGTTTGAGATTTCAGTGTGTTTCATCTGTGTTGGTCTATAGCTCCAGACATCGTACATGTCTATATACTCTGCCATTCCGCGCGCGCTACGGGCTAGCGGTCCATCAATTCCTCGATAACGGCGAGCATTGACGAGTCAGTGGGCTTTGCGTTAGACAGCATCATTCGGACTTGGGCCCAGCCAACATTTGTTGGCGACCCGTTCTGGCTGTTTTGCGTCCGAGGGTACTACATCTCGCCTTCCCCGATATCGCTGAGCACAGAGCGACAAATCACGTGCAACGGATCCACGGGCCGTTACGAAAGATGACACCAGTGAATTGTGATTCCCAGCGACGGGAGGCGATCGATTGATTAGCGAGTGAAAAGCTCCTCGCTTTTTTCATCGCCTTTGAGGTGCTGGTTTCAGTCGGGAAGGTCGCTTCTGAGTGATACAGTAGTGACGGGCCACATGTTTAGGGCAGTGGTTTCGAGCCATTGATGAGATACTTACTTCGGCTATCCCATGGCCATATTTTCAATCTGAGCTCTCCGGGCCTGGAAGTAATCCGCAGCAGACCGCCCTTCGATGAGACGAAGTTCGATGCACATGTACAAAAACGGCCAGTACCAACCCACGATCGCCACGCTCACCACGTTCACCATGATCAGCACCACCCCAGGGACCTCCAATTATTATGTAAAATGGCTTCGAGGCCCCCTCCGGAGGCCATCAAACCACCCCCTACCCCCCCTGATCGGAGGCCATCCTGGAGGCGCCTTCCTAATTGGTACTCTGCCCAGCCATTCATCCACAGCCAGCATGGTAGGCTAGGCATTGACCCGAGTGTTTATATGTGCTTTAGTAGTCAGTATAAAGCCTCAGACAATGTCTTAGCTCACAAAAGCTTGTATTTCTTGCTTGCAAATGGCAGACCACTGGGCGCACAAAATTTGGGATTTGAGCACATGAGCACTCCTCAGGTGCATAGAGCAGCAGTATATATATTAATTCGAGATTGAGCATGAGGTAGCTGTGCCCACACGCAAAAATGAGATGTTGCTGAAGGGATGGTTTATGGCCTCCACAACCTCCCAGGGGCAGAAAAAAAGGTGTTGGGTAGCCCACAGGCCATTGAATTCTGCTTCAATAGATCAATTTGACGCTTATGCTTTGTCAAAACAACAGCCCAGGATATAAATTGGATGCTGGAGCAGTGGCAGAACAAGCCTCCACCGCCTCCAGGACTGGGGACCAAAAGCGGTTATTGTAGATTCAGCCACATAAACCATATTTCTGATCTTGTTTGTCCTAGTTGGAATGTCTAGGTATTCAAGAGAGACAGGCGGCTACATAGATCAGATGCTAGCACCAATAGCAGAACTGGCCTCCATGGCCTCCACAGCCAGTGACCAAAAGCGGTTTTTTGGGTTCAGCCATATAAACCATGTCCATGATGTTGAAGGTCTTCATTATAATTATGAGGGTCCTTTAGTTAAATTGCTCACCACATGAATCAGATGCTGGAGCAAATGGCAGAACTGGCCTCCGCTGCCTCCACAGGTTATCACTTGAAGAGTCTGAATGAGATGACAATGTAACAGATATATATTCTCCTGGCTGACCGCATTCTGTCATTTTCACCTCTACATGCTAGTTTAATTGCTGCAGAATGTTAAAATTAGAGGATGGGAGACCCTGGAGGCACTGAAGGCACATGCAAGATCCAATCAATGTCATCAATATCATCAATGCCATCAATAGCATCAAGAGCATCACCGATCATTGGTATATTGATCAGCCAATCAGATGATGAATAAACATCGAACATCTAGTATATTCACTCCTGAGAGACACAGACTACATGTATGCTCATACTGAAAGTGGATTAGTGGTCCCAGGACATGCCCCAATGACATATTACATCCTTGTCTCAAGAACATATCATTGAAATTCGGAGTTGGCAAATGAACTGAAAGTCAACTGAAGATGAGTGGTACAGTGGAGTACTTTCAGTTCATTTGCCAACTCCGAATTTCAATGATATGTTCTTGAGACAAGGATGTAATATGTCATTGGGGCATGTCCTGGGACCACTAATCCACTTTCAGTATGAGCATACATGTAGTCTGTGTCTCTCAGGAGTGAATATACTAGATGTTCGATGTTTATTCATCATCTGATTGGCTGATCAATATACCAATGATCGGTGATGCTCTTGATGCTATTGATGGCATTGATGATATTGATGACATTGATTGGATCTTGCATGTGCCTTCAGTGCCTCCAGGGTCTCCCATCCTCTAATTTTAACATTCTGCAGCAATTAAACTAGCATGTAGAGGTGAAAATGACAGAATGCGGTCAGCCAGGAGAATATATATCTGTTACATTGTCATCTCATTCAGACTCTTCAAGTGATAACCTGTGGAGGCAGCGGAGGCCAGTTCTGCCATTTGCTCCAGCATCTGATTCATGTGGTGAGCAATTTAACTAAAGGACCCTCATAATTATAATGAAGACCTTCAACATCATGGACATGGTTTATATGGCTGAACCCAAAAAACCGCTTTTGGTCACTGGCTGTGGAGGCCATGGAGGCCAGTTCTGCTATTGGTGCTAGCATCTGATCTATGTAGCCGCCTGTCTCTCTTGAATACCTAGACATTCCAACTAGGACAAACAAGATCAGAAATATGGTTTATGTGGCTGAATCTACAATAACCGCTTTTGGTCCCCAGTCCTGGAGGCGGTGGAGGCTTGTTCTGCCACTGCTCCAGCATCCAATTTATATCCTGGGCTGTTGTTTTGACAAAGCATAAGCGTCAAATTGATCTATTGAAGCAGAATTCAATGGCCTGTGGGCTACCCAACACCTTTTTTTCTGCCCCTGGGAGGTTGTGGAGGCCATAAACCATCCCTTCAGCAACATCTCATTTTTGCGTGTGGGCACAGCTACCTCATGCTCAATCTCGAATTAATATATATACTGCTGCTCTATGCACCTGAGGAGTGCTCATGTGCTCAAATCCCAAATTTTGTGCGCCCAGTGGTCTGCCATTTGCAAGCAAGAAATACAAGCTTTTGTGAGCTAAGACATTGTCTGAGGCTTTATACTGACTACTAAAGCACATATAAACACTCGGGTCAATGCCTAGCCTACCATGCTGGCTGTGGATGAATGGCTGGGCAGAGTACCAATTAGGAAGGCGCCTCCAGGATGGCCTCCGATCAGGGGGGGTAGGGGGTGGTTTGATGGCCTCCGGAGGGGGCCTCGAAGCCATTTTACATAATAATTGGAGGTCCCTGGGGTGATCAGCACGATCAACAAGAACAAATCTCAGATTTCGTAAAGCTTCAATGCACCAGCCCGAACGAGTCCATCGGACATTTTAATGCCAGGTCTCTGCATCTGCTTCTGGGGGAGAGCTTCTCACGGCGGAGACGATTCCCCCACGAAGACCCGCGACTGCTGCAGGTCACATGTTTCATTCCGGCAGATCGCGATTAATGTGGCTCACAATCAAAATTCAATATTTTAGATATTGCAGTACAAATGGTTAAATACAAAGTGCATTGTGATATTAAAACTAATGTAATGGGTCAAAGGTACCCCAATTTATCAACTATTGCAGCAAAAAATGTTTCAAAGATAAAGGAAATATTGGAACCAAATTCCTGCACCTTGGACACCCCATAATTGTACCTCAAGAGGTACCTTTTTGAGGCCCAAACAAGGTACCTCAGTGGTAGTGGGCGGCTGTGGGCTGGGCGGCTGCTGGGCCCCCCCCCAATGCTCTGGGCGGCCCCACTCAAAAATCCATGGGCGGCCAGTGGGTGGCCTTGGGCGTGCCCATGGCTCCCGGGGTCCTGATAGCGCGCGCAGCGCCCGAAAATTTTCTGTTTTTTTTGGCCTATTTGGAAAGCAAAAGTCATGTATATTTTTGCAACCAACTCAATAATACTGGCATAGAATGTAACATATGACTTGTATTTATATACATATTATGGATGTAACATGACTTATTCTTTCTCTTAGGCTCTGTTCGGCAACCGATGATGTTGAGGATGAGGATGATATTGATACCGCATTTTACTATAACGAGTAGATAGCTGTGCACTGAGTCAGCAGTGACTGATGTGACTATACGCGTCGTTTTCCCACCACGCACACATGGCCAAAAAACACGACGCGCTCGCGTCTCCGTCCCCACCGCCGGTGACGGGCCTCAATGACGAAGAAGACAATATAGTCGAACTCTCTGGACCCCCCGAACCCACTGGTGACCGGGCAATCTGGAATGACGCCGAGATAAAAGAGCTCTTGGAGCAGCTTGTCGAGCATAAATCGGCAACTTCACCAAGGACAACCTTCAATATGATTGCCCCACAGGTAGACAAGCACCGGACGGCCGGAGTGCAGAAGACGGGCGCGATGTGTACTACAGTTGAATCGGTCATATGGAATATTGGCGGGGGAAGCCCAAACCGTATTCCATATGGCGGATATTCTTCATGACCTATTACCTCAGAATCGTCTCCAAAAATTGCCAAAAAAATCGCCAAAAACCGTAATTTATTCAATATGTACCTACTACGGCTTGGGAATGAAAAAATCCTCAAGAGATTTCTGAACTTTGTTTTCCTCGGATTCGTGATTGATTGTGGCCCTCATTGTTCGTAAGTGAGCTCCAAAAGACATGCTGAAGTCAAGGTCAGGCCGATTTTGAGCAATCTTTTGAAGGAGGTCAATGGCAGCGAGAGCATCTTGTCGGACAAAAATGAATTCCTCGAATCCATCATCACCATCATCGTCCTCATCAATGTCAATCACCTCGTTCTTTTGACGCACCAATGCAAGAATCTGACGCAAACCACCGTCACCATTGGCAATGCATAGAAGCTGATTGTCAAGACTCTCGTCTTCAATGATTGGCGACAGAATCTGAGAGACAGAAGGAGGTTGGCCACGCAGGCATCGGGAGGAGTACAAGTGATCAAGTGCAGTTTGCAATTCATTCTCTGCATCCCTAAGCCGACGATCCGGAGCGAGAATTTGTGGGAGAGCTCCGTTTGCATGTCCATCAGTCGCGCACAGGTTAAGAGACACTTTCTGCAACCTGCGCACAGATTTCTCCGCAACCACTGAGTCACCCTCGGCATCCATGACAGCCGTGAGTGCTGGCCGCCAATCTTCATCGGAGTAAGTCAGACCAAAGATCGCTTCGAGTCGTTTCTCAGTGGACGGAAGTGAGACATGTTCAGAGGTGGCAAACTCGAGAATGACATCCCATGCCTGCTGGTCAAGATCTTGAGAGTTGCCAGACTGCGGAGCTGCCGGAGCATCGTCGACATCCATGCTCTTTGCTGTCGCATCAGCTTTCTCATTCTCGGTCTCGGTCTCAATCTCAGTGTCCTTGTGCTCTTCTTCATTCTCGGTTTCCTCTTTCTTGTCATCTGGATCAGGAATGTCTCCCCACTCGTTGTCTGGAGGGCAGATCTTCGTATGAGCCCAGCAGTTGGCAATTGTGGACTGTGAGATCTTGTTCCATGCTTCGGTAAGTGTTCGCATCGCCGAAAGAATGTCAATCTTGAACGGAGATTCGTGCTCAGCCTCGTAGAGATTGAGGGCACGGACAGCTTGCTTCTTCCGGTAACGTGCTTTCAGACAGCGGATGATTCCTGCGTCACAGGGTTGGACAAATGGAGTGAGATTGGGCTCAAAGTAGACAAGCCGAATGTTCTTTGGTTTGTACGTGATGTTGTGGTGCCCCGAAAAGTTGTCCATTGAGAGCAGGATTTTACGGCGTTGCCTGCGCATCTTTCCATCCAGCCTCGAAAGAAACTCATCAAACAGCGCGCCTGTCATCCAAGCCTTCTTGTTCGAACGATAATACGACGGTGGATGCATGCGTGCGGGATCTTTCCTGTTGAATGCGCGAGGCTTGGCTGATTTCCCAATGAACATCAACGGCTCTTTCTCGGTCCCCGTGGAGTTGCAAGTCACGACGGCAGTGATCCGGAACTTGTCCTGCTTCTGTCCAGCGACTGGTGCAGCGCAAAGAGTTCGGTCAGGTGGAGCAGATGGGAAGAAGCTTGTCTCGTCTGTGTTCCAACGGTCCTCAGGCTTGTACTTGGCCATGATTCGTCGCATGCGCTTCCTCTCCTTCTCAACGGCCTCCAAGTCCACAGACCCTGCTTCCCCGTGCCGTTTGCGCTCCTGCAGATTGTTCCTGTACGCTCGTTCAGGACAAAACTCGTCTTCGTTAAGTGATGACGTACGCAGCCTTGAATGACTCTAACCAACCCGTCCCTGTCAAGCGCTTCTCTTTGGGAACATTCAAGAGTTCTTCCAGTCGCTTCCGCTTCTCTATCAGCATGGCACCAGTCACCGTGTTCTTCTTCTGCTCCATATCCTGGACCCACAAAGAGAGTGCCTCGTCGACTTCGGGGCATGTCACCACTCGAGCACGCTTCTGAGAACCAGCACCAGAGCTGTTTGCAACGGTCTCCCGAATCTCATCCTTCTTCTTGATCTTCTTCGACAGCGCAGACTGCGTGAACAGAAGCTTCCCGCCATCCTTGTCCGGACGGTTCTCGAAGTGTTCAACGACCCGCTTCTGCGTCATGTCTGGCTCCTGCTCCATGAAGTTGAAGACTTGCAACCAGTCAGACCAAGTCAAATCCCTTTGAGTTTCGTCCTTCGAGAAACGAGCGCTAGTGCGTGCTTTCACTTTCTTCGGGCCGGGCTTAGCTTTGTCCTTTCGCGTCGTCTTACGTGGGTTTTTGTCAACATCGCGGACCTTGCGGGTCTTTGTGTGGTCCGTACGGACCGGTGGCATGGATGGACTATGTAGAGAGAATGAAAATTGCTTCGTTCATGTAATCTGGGCGTCTATTACGTCGCAAACACTGTCCCATCCCACAAAATCACACACATGACCGTGGAATATTTTCAAAAATTGCCCTGAAATCATGATTCCATATGCCAGATGACGATTTGTGGAATATTTGGTTCTCCCAAGCCCGGGGAGGCCAAAATCCGATTCCAGATCACGATTATTCCATATGAGGTTATTCCTTATGACCGATTCAACTGTACCACGTACCGTACTGTACATGATCATCACCAGACTCTGCTCTCCTCTGATAATGCTCTGCAGCATGCAAGGGCGGCATCCTGGGCGAGAACGCGACGCGACGCGTCGACACGTAAGCTGAGAGCGTCCCAAAAAGGTTGTCACGCTGGAGATCATCAGGGCACAGCTTTGTGCACAGCTATCTACTCGTTATAGTAAAATGCGGTATCAATATCATCCTCATCCTCAACATCATCGGTTGCCGAACAGAGCCTTAAGGATATATCAAGTCACTATTTTGTAGGCTTATGGACTTGAAGAAAAAAAATCCTTATCTTGTGCGCTTATGACTTGAGTGAATGATGCATACAGATGTTTTTTATATTCTCTTTCGAACGTAGATGTATTCTCAGTGACAAAGGTGATTCCTGAGCACAGGAAAAATGTATGTGACATATTGACGCCTAGGCAAGTGTGAGCCCACCCACAGAGTTATGGGCCCGCCCAAGGAAAGTGTGGGCCTGCCCACCTATTGCCAAGATTACTATGGGGCCGCCCATATTGCTTAGATAATTACGGGGCCACCCATATCGCTTAGATAACTATGGGGCTGCCCGCCAATCGCCAAGACAATTACGGGGCCGCCCATATCGCTTAGACAATAAAGACATGAGTAACACATTAATGAGATCAAGAACGACAGCAGTACAGTAAGTGCGAAACAATAGAAATTGTCCAGACAACACATGAGACTAATATAGGTCACATCACAGTCCCGTAGCATCCAGTGTCAAGCAAATCTTTGTACAGCGTTTTGTGTAAGCCCCTGTGCCGCTCAGCAACAACCGGCAGGAGGCGGAGGTCCACGCGCTTCCACTGACCCTCCTGCTCCATTTGCAAGCCTCGACTGATGTAGTCGTCTACAACCATCGCGTCGCCTATACTCCGTCTGCGGAATTGAGTAACAAAGAACGTCCTGGAGGATCGTTCTCCAAAGACATATCGACAAACGTGCTCGCCCTCTCTGGGATCTTTCTCCAGCTGCTGCATCAGCAACTCCCTGTTCATCCGCTGACGTTTGCGTGGCGGCTCACTGTCATCCACGTCAGTGTCATTGAGCTCATCAGCCAAGCTGGGCGCCCGTTGATTTGGAGTCGGCAAGCGAGCTGCCATTGGCCGCTTGCCCTCTCTCTTCTCCTTTTTGTCGTTGATCTCCTTTTTGTAAGACGTGGAGTCCCGGACCCAGGCAATTTCATTGTTATCCCCCAAACGTGTTGCCAACACAATGTTGCCCACCTCGTCTGGATCGTCTGCAGCCTCTATCTCTTCAATATCATGGTATGAGTGAGCAGGAAACAAGCTATTTGGTACGACTGACCGTCTGTCCACTTCACGAAGTCGGGGGCTGCGCACGCAAGTTTCTCTTTGGCAGTTTTTTCCGCAATTGACTGGGCATCATCCACCAGCAAAATTTTGTAGTCGTCTGGTTTTGCACGCAACTCCATACCAAGAAGCACGCGTTGTACTAACTCAGCCGACGGTTTCCAATTTGGCTGTGGCAGCTTGAAGCCATCTGGCCAATTGACGAGCCTGAGCTGATGCGTCGACAGATGTTCAGAGGGTCCCAGCTCATCTTCTTCAGCTGGAAACCTCCAGCACGTTCTATGTAGCATCTGTCAGAGGGCTACAATGCATTAACAAACTTGTTCACTTGCCCATTGCCCTATGCAAAAGATCCTGCACGCGTGCTCGTTCCATGCTCCGCTTATCTGCATACTGCTTGCCGCCTGCGCCCACTATCCGTCGCTCCGATCGATTGCCCATGATGGGAGCTCCCGAGTTCTTGGCCTGTGACGCCTGTGCACTTGCGGCTATGGTTGTCTGCTCGTTTATTGGCATGTCCAATGCACGTTCATCCATGTCCAACTTTCTGTAAGCCAGTCAGCATCACAGCAAAGGTTTTCTAGCTAACGCCTACCGCAGCATAGTTTCATAGTCTCGTAATTGACAATCGATAGCCACTGGAAACGTCTTCATCAGTTGCAGGTACTCGAGTGATCCCCCCCACGCGCAACTGTGCTGTCCGTCTTCGTCAATGATTACCCCGAAAGCATGCACGTTGAGTTGCCGATATGCTTTTGCTGACTGCAAACATGTTAATAACACTCATCCACAGAAAATCTGCATTACAGACCACACAAGTGAGATTCTTGGCCACATTGGCAACCAAAGCGGGAAACTTTCCACTCCTTCTTGTATCGATTATCTTTTCCTCCATGTGGATTGCATACCAATCAAGGACATCACTAAAATGCTCGTTGAGCGCGTCGACATTGCTTTGCTGTTCCCGGCCCAGCTGGGCCAAACAATCGTTGTACGCTTTGCTGACCTGCCCGTTCCAGACACTGACATGCACTATCAGATTGGTGAGCTCACAAGTGTACACTGGTGGAAAGTATCCACTCACTATCAGCGGGTTTTTGACCCTTGTGTTGAGCCGAGTACCAGGTCTGGAACTTGTTCCACATGTGTTCCTTTGGACTTTGACAATCCTCGTCGCTGCTCACGTTCTCCATCACTATTTCCACCGGTACATTGTACTTTTCCGATATCTTTTGTAGTTGCTTTTGGACTTCCAGAATTTCCGCGTAGTAGGCTTTCGGTGGACGGCCACCCTTGTCAGCCTCGGTGTTCGCACCAGACAGTGCACGACGACCCTTTTGGCTCATAGATTTTGAATTGCCGATGATGCGAGATCCAGTCTTCTCTGTGATCGATGTGTTTGATGTGCTCGTAGCGCTCAGCATGCCAACGTCCTGAGCCACACAATTTTGCAACTCTTCATCCTCACGTCTGTTGCCTTCAACATTGCTGGAAGCTCGCCTCAGTCTGATTTCCCTCATCTTCTCTTCTTCACGCTCCCTGATCAATGCAGCACGGAGACGTTTTTGCTCCTCGGTCTCGAAGTCATCGTCGTCGCCTTCACTCTCATACAGAGCTTCTGTTCCAGGGATCTGTCCATGATAATGCCCAATTCGGTCCGGATTGGAGCGTTGAGCCACGGTCGGGATTTCGTCACAAGCCTGGCTATTGCTTCCGAGCAGGTTGTCTTCCTCATTGGCGTGAGGGTCGAGATTCAGTTCCTGGAGCTTGTCCAGTCCCCACTCTGCATCTCGTGAGACCTCCAGAGTGCCCAGTGATAGCGGATATCGTGAGCGTGGAGTGATCTCCCCATCCCTCTCCGTTACAGAAAGGCCAGTCCGTGGATGAGCTCGAGGTGTTCTCTGGTCTTCCGGACCCCTCGACGCTGTTTGCGGTGGGGTGGATGCTCTGGAAGCGTTGGATGATAAAGGTGTGGGTCGAACTGGGCTCAGGGACAAAACTCTCATTGCTAAACGCGATGCAGCGGTACCGAGCGTGTTGGAAGCGTTTGCCCACGGGTTTGCTCTTCCTCGAAGTCCAAGGGAAGCGGGCGTCATCTCCGGCAAGCTGTCTGCAAAGGCAGACGATGCCGGTAAGTTATCCACGTCATCGATACGCGGACTCGGTGAGGGAGACGAAGAAGGCGCGGGAGACAATGCCAGTAAGTTATCCGCATCATCGATACGCGGACTCGGTGAGGGAGAGGGCATCCGCGCCGCAGAATCCCCTTGGCAGGTAGTCAGTGCTGCACAGAATGTATACGGGCGCAAATGTACCGAGCGTGATTGGGATACCTGGATTCGTCTCTGACGCAAACCCGGCATCCGCTTGAGATTGTGCCACTCTCTGGCGAGCCTTTTCCTCTCTTTTTCGGCGATGCACATCCATAGCCGGTGTCTCCTGTTCAAGGGCTGGAGCAACAGAATTGGATCGCAGTGGTTGGGTTGGTGCAGCTGAAGATGTAGGCGGTTTCGCTGCGGACTTGGAGCGAGGAGGCATGTTCCTGGTAGTGGATCGGACTTGTAAGCGCGTAAGCTTGGAAAGTTGCCCCAGATTCGGTCGGATTCTGGGAACGGAAGGCGATGCAAGGGGATCAGCTTCAAGGACTTGACCTCGTCAACTGCTAGGTACTCACTGGCGCCGCGTGCAGGATCTGCCTAGATCTTTCTTGGCCTGTCGAGCCGCTTGGAGACAGCATATCGGAGGATCAGAAGCCATCGAGCGGACTTCCGATGGTCGCATGGCTCACGCATGACTCCATTTGTGGCTCCTCCGGGCGCGCATGCCCGCTATTGCGCAGATGCCCATGTTAGCCCGGCGGTGGGTTTTGGTGCCCCTGTTAGCCCGGCGGCGGGTTTTGTCGTGATTTTATAAGGGATATTCACACAGGGACTCATGAATACGATGTACACTACTCGCTAATATAGTCCTCTGCCATGAGCTCGTCTGGTGGGAGGTGCCCGACGAACGACATGAGCGTGGACAGAAAGAAAGATGTGTCACAAGATGTGACGCTGTCGCTATGTCATGCCTCCTTGATGGTCGATATCAAGGCAATCAGTGGAGTAATGATCCGACCCACATGGCTTACAATCGCAACATTGGATCCGTTTCTTCTTCATTCCTTCGGACACGATAAGATTTGCGGGCTAAATAGCCACCGAGAATACATGTGAATAATTTAATTTGTTACGCTGAGCTTCATGTGGACACTGCGGCCGTCGGGGATTCGCTGACAACTCCGATCTCGAAATTAGTGGAAAGCAGCCCAAGAATTCCCACTGTCTCGTTTATTGCCCGATAGAGTGATCCAAGTGGGAAGACATTTGTCCTGTTTTTCCATGCCCATTGCGTATCTGCATGGGGCTCTGCAAACTGCACCACCACCTTCGACGGATCTGACAATTCGGGGATGATTTCAGCGTATCTCCCAATGTCTGCATCAGATCTGGAGCAGTCGTGACTGATGATGATGACCCGTCCACGTGCAGCACTGATACAGCGTCCATCGGCAAGCGTCCTGACTGGCTCGAGACATTCTGCCGGGACAAGGGTGTCGGTAAATCCACCCAGCCGAATCTGCACGAATCTCAGCATGAACGCGTGCCGTGACCAGTCCATCTTCTGTGAGGGCATGACAATGCCGGTCTTCTCCGCATGCTCAAACATCTTGCGATTAAAAGACAGGAAGTAGCGACCCTTCCCGCGCCCATTTATCTTAGCAGCGTTTTTTGCACTCTCAAGTGCTGCAACGGACTTGACCTTCACGTCGATTCGCTTCCCTTGGAAGGCAGGGTTCGCCAACCACAAGTTATCGGCAGCAAAGACATCTAACGCTGGCGGTGAGTGCTCTGGTGCTGGTCAGGGATCACAGACTGACCTAGTTCAGAGATCTGCTCCTCTGTCGCCATGTCGGGAGCTGGTGGTGGAGTGGGTGGGCGACGTGTTGCCTTGATGAGTTCGGACAGGTCCCCAAAGAACATGGCCTGTCGCAATGGCAGTAAGACCCTAAGACAACGCGCATGTGTTAATAACATTCCAGTCTCAGCAATAATGTAGCACGCACTCAGGGTGGACAACCTGATCCAAGTGTGCAATGGCCGTTGCTCCCCCGTCAAGGTAGATCAACAACTCTACCTTCCGCTCAAGCTTGGATTCTGGCTTGAGAGTGGGTCACTTCGAGCGCTGAATATGCTTGTAGCCAGCAACGACACCAACAAGGCCCTTCTGATTGTGTTTACCAACAATCATGACGCGCTGACCAGTGTAGCCCTGCCCCGTGTGGTACAAGTCTCGCTCGATCTTGGCTTGCCTCTGGTCCTTCTCGAGAGCAAAGTTGATGTATTCTGGATTGAGCTTCTGGGTTTGCCAGCCGTGGCCACATACTCGTTGGTGTCTGGTGGAAGGAGAGTGATCTTCCAATCTGGTACTCGAATCTGCACTGATGTTCAAGAACAGGTTATCGACAATTTGCCATGGCATGCACTTATGACCAGATCCTCTCGCGATGCATATGCCGCGTTGTTCATCTGCACGTAGTCAGTATGTAGATTGTCTATATTCCCATACGTATAGTTACCTTTCGTTTGTCTCTCACAAATGTCCCATCGATACGCTTCTAGATTTCCCCAATTTCACACTGTTTACGTCGACTGAGTATCAGACAGACAATCTTTGTGTAGGCGACTCACTGGGTAGATATCCACAGACACAACCATGTTGACTGCGACAATGAAGCCAGTAACGCCTGGTTGAGGCCCAGTTATGACTTGGACTACATCTCCCGCTCGAAACTCAATAATGCACTCGGATCGTTTGACTGTCCCTCGGCAGAGCTCTCCATTGGGCCTGACGCCATGAAAATCAACTCTTTCTGACGACGTTTCCAGCCCCATTGCTAGACCTGTAGCCAAATGAAATGTTGAATGCCCAAATACTTTGATTTGTGAGTGGTCACTGATCGACCGAGGCAGGCAGAGGACATGTCAATACAAGGAGGCCATCGGCACAACAAACGACTCCTTGCGCCTCATGGATCGCGCCGAGACGACGTCGGTGCCGTTGTAGTCTGCAAAGACTGCGCCAAGAGCAGACTCGAATGTGCCTTGTGAGACAATGTAGACCAGGATTCCGGTGTGGCAGTTGAATTTGGATTCGTTGTTGTCGACTACGACGAGATCCCCCACCTGCAGCCCAGTCTTGGTCGGGACATGAGAAGGGACATGGAGCAGGTTCTCTTGTGCGATACAAAACCACTGGAGCTCATCTGGCATGGGCGGTGATCCCTGTTCGCGTAAACCGAAGTCCTTTAATTTGACCACTTCAAGTCCAGCGGCAGTGAAACGGCGGTTTCTCCACACCCAGAGATTGTCCACAGAATCATAATCGATTTTCGCGCTGGGATGCATGTCCTGCACGCGCTGCCTGCCGAAGAGAATGGGGTCTGGTCTGGTCTTCTGGCCTGGCTTGCAAATGCAAGGAACAACCAAGCAGTAGATATTCTCGCAAATTGCGCAGCAGGTGTAGGCCAAATCTCCTGCAAAGATTCCTTCATCCAGGCGGACAAACACGCCGATGTACTCGCATTCTTTGGATAGTGACAGGACGCGAACCTTGTCCCCGCCCGCGAAAGGGCGACTTGATCATATTCGGCTTTGAATGCTGCCAGCAATCAAGCACTTCGGAGAGCCAAGCACGGTGGCAGGTTTCAACATAGACGAAACCTCCAAACTTGCGAGGGTAAAACACAGAGTCGAGGAAGTCGTAGTGACTGAGGAATCGGGTCAAGTCAGGCTCAAAGCCTGGCCAAACGAGAAGGGGATACATCGGGGGGTCAAGCGCGTCATCTGGCAAGCAATACAGGTGTTCTGCATGGTCCATATCTTTATCGGTCGGACCAGAAATGTTGTGCAAATCAACGTTGTGCAATTTCCTGCGTCCCTCGAGGCAATCTCCACCCGCTTTGTACGGGAGTACCGGGCTGCCCATTGCTCAAGCAACTCGTGCTCGGATGAACCTGAGGTCTGGGGATCCTCAGAAATGTCCAGCTCCAGGTGTGGACGCTCGTTGTAGATGCTGTTGCGAGATTCTGGATCTTCTTCGGTGTCTTCAGTAATGAGCCAGTCCTCCACATTGACATCTTGGACGTCTTCTAGATCTTCCTCTCCCTCCGTCTCATCGGCTTCAATGCTCAGGTACTGCATGACTGATTGTTTCCTGGAGGCGGGCTCTGATTCGACACGCCGTTTCTTCGAGGGATTTGATTTGCTCCTCACACTGGAGATGCTCTGAGATGTAATAAGCTACATACATCTCTGTCAGTCGATCATATCGCACCGATTCTACCTCCACAAATCCGGTGCGAATAGGATTCGATCTCCCAAAGACTAATGGTTGCGGTGCATTGCCAACTGGTTCTGGTACATCGACAACGTGTTTAGTGGGCTGCTTAAGTGATTAGTGACCATGGGATTGTGAGCATAACAAGGCCCGTACAGAAGACGCTTCGCCACCTAGGCTGTCATTTGGGTGGCCGAAAATCAGTCCCTCCACTAGCACAGGTTCATGCCCCTGCGACTCAACCTCTCCTTCGTTCGCAACCGAGCTTGCAGCCAAAGGTCCACTCTCCCGCACTTGATCATCCCAATGATGGTCTTCATCTTGACCATCCTCTGCGGACTCCTGGGGCTTGCAGACATTGGGGGTCGGTAGGACGAGAGCTGCAGCAAGATGCGACTGCTCCTGGACAATGCTGTCAGGCAGAGCTGCCTCCTCCAAGGATCTTGACGCTGTCTCTGCACGCAGGATCGGAGATTGCGGAGGAGAGGGCTATGCGTGGTATTGAGACCGAGCAGCAAAGAGGAAGCAGATGCACGTACCGTGCAAGGAAGGAATAACAGAGTCTCTGGCCGACCCGGAATGGGGGTGAACAATCTGCTTGGTGATCTCCGCGTTGATTGTGTGTCAGTCATGCAATCTTCGGGGCAAGGCTGTTGGCGCTTCAGAATGAGGGCAGCCAGGCAACTCGACACTCACTGTCCCCAGGTTAGACATCTGACAAGGCACAGGGCTAGCGTGAGGGCACGCAGCGTCCGGAAGATGGTCGACAAAGCTAGCAGCAGGGCTTAGCGAGCCTAAGCAGCGTCTGTTAGTACTTATGCATAGATTCATCCGCGCCTTTGAATTCTTCTATTTTCTGGCACTGAACAGGCTTTGATCGTTTATGACTAATAGGGCCTTAAGCCCGACACTGAATACAAACTATGTACATGCTCTACTATGGTATATGCTGAGCTGGACTTACGAGCCATGGTGTTCAAGAGCAAGACACGAAATCCCGATTGCTGATCGGAGTGTTTGGCATTGTGCATGACTGATGGTTGGCAGACCAGCATGATTTCGATCCCGGTCTGCCAACCATCAGTTGTGGTCATTGTTATCGTTTGATGGTGGCAGTGCTGAATCGCATTTTGCTCCCAACGTCCACAATCTCGTCGTCATGTCTCATGAGTACATAGAAGTGATACGTGGTATATAGAATTAATAGCGTCTGAATCTGCGATGAGTAAGCTAGAAAGCCAAAAGGCAATAAAATGTGTCTGCTAACAGGATTTTAAAGATCGTTGCTGTCACATTGACCGGTTGTCTCCCACCTCAGCGCCAGGCCCGTCTTCCATCTCAGTGAGTGCTTTCACTGTGCAGTATATAAGCCTATTGACCTGCCCGTGTCTGCACAGTTCCAGCGATGCCCAATCCACGTCACTCGTCGAAGAGTCCCATCAAAGCTCAGGCCTTCACGCTGAGCAGTGTACGACCGCCGCAGCGGCAAGGCGCTTGGCGTCCGCCCCCTGTTTATTGTGCCAACGGCGTAACACTGTATCGAGACTATGTCAGAGCCCCACCTGGTCAGGTCGGGTTTTTGCTGAACACTTCGCGCCTGGAGAATCTCGAGGGCCAGGAATCCCTGCATGTCAACGATGGAGTATACGATGAAGCTCACTACATAATGCCTCTGCATTCCGATGCAGTACCTGCCCCGACGGCGCACTCTGTGGCCCGAGAGAAGCAGGCTAAGCGCTGGGTCATGGAAACCATTCCCGCCCTACTGCCTGTCTACGTGGATCTCATGTACCAAACGGAGCGCCTGCATCACCTTGATCGTGCAACTCCATCTACGGCCTCCTGCATTTGCGGAAAACAGAAAGAGATTCAGGTCTTTCTCCTTCGTTGGCATGGTAGGTACTTTCATGCACTTCCATCTTCTTTGCTTATAGGTTGCAGATTTAGACAAGATTACTGTACCATTGTGCCTGTCGCCCAGCAACGCAGCAGCTTGTTGCCTGCGGCTTCTTTCCAAGCTCGCCCGTTGAACCGCACCTGGGCGTGGACATGCGAGTGCTAGATTTTGGGAAGGATCTGTTCCTCAACCAGGCACCCAACAACCGTGCACTGACCAAAACAATCGAGCAGTGCCTGGACAGGCTAGGCTACAAGCTGCCTAACCATGTAAAGATGTCATCTCGCTATTTGTGAGCCAGTGCTGACGCTTTCCTTGTAGGAATCCCTACAATGCCAATTTGGCAATGCATTAGAGTACTATGTCATGCTGCGCCATAGTACAGATCAGGCCATCGACAACATCCTCGCCACCGTGCGGCAGGGGATCCAGAATGAGGACGACAGCCATGAATGCCCAACCACACCAGGTCCGATGATCACACAAACCTCTGTGCAGGAATCTCCACAGAAGAGAGGCCGCAGGGAGTGGGACTCTTCTCCGCCGGCTTCTCCAACTAAGCGCACTCAAGCAGCGCAACCATCATCTCCGACACAATCTTTGTTGCCGTCTTCATCATCTCCGGTTAGACTGTTGTTGCCTTCATTGCCCAGTTGCCCACCAGTGTCTTCTCCGGAGCTGTCATCGCCTGTGGCCGAGTCATCACATCACACCTATCCATTCACACCGCCCGAGGATCGCCCGCGACCAAGTGAATACCTCTGGAGCTGATGTCCTGCCTGCTTCGGCGGCAAATGGGAGGACATGCGGGTAGCTCTTGATTGCATTGTTTGCAGAGACGCATGCTTCACGCAGAAACGGAACAAGGACCGAGGCTGTCGAGATCTGGAGCGCATGCATCCCAAGTCGTCTTTCTTGCCCAACCAAGCGACGCAGAAGATGGCTGACTGAGTCAAAGGAAAACGCCCTGCTCGTTCCGCCCCAAACACAGCTGCTGCACCGACATTAGAAGTTGATGATGAGGATGTGATCGAAGCACCAAGCATTCCTCTGCCTCGATCCGTGCTCAATGAGTGCGAACGCTCCTTCGCTGCAGCGGATGAGACTAGAGCGAAGACCAGTTCCCAGTTCTTTGACGGTAAGGGACTGATGGGCTTGTCGTGTTGTCACGATAACCTGCTGTTCCTAGCAAACATTAAGACACCCGGTGAGCGACAATTCTACATGTTTGCACTACTTGAAGCTCTGTTCCAGCACCTGCCGACTGATTTTGTCGTTGGCTTCCTTTACGACATTGCCTGCCAGTTACAACGATCTGCAGTCAAATACGACTTCTTGCCTCCAGAATACATGGCCAGACTGGAGTGGGCTGTTTCTGTCCTGCATTCGTACGGTCATGGAGCTGCCTGCCAAGCAGTCTATCATCCAAGACGCCGTACTCTATTCGGTTATTTGGATGGGGAGGGTCTAGAACGGTTCTGGCACTCCCTCAGCCATCTTGTCTCTTTTCTTCGTGTGTGCGGTGTGCGTGCTTGCCTTACATCTCCTGATGCCAGCTGATGATCCATATCCAGTATCACAAGCGCCGCTACACGCTGGATGCACAGATCATACACATACACAAGGGGAATTTGTTCAGATTGGGCAGCTGGCTCTCCAGGCGCTACGCTGATTGCTGTCAGCATAGACAGCACGCTACGAATGCTCTGGCTGAATGCCAGCATTCTCTATCGGTTCTGCATGCAGAGCATGCCAAACAAGTGACAGCCTTGTCACAGCCGTTACCTCGTACATGTTTATCTTATCTCATCTTCTCGTATCTAGTCTTGCTTGTTCTATCTAATCTTATCGTGACTACAGGACAATCGAAGAACGCAGGGAAAATCGCCATACAAGATGTACTACGCAAGACAGTAGCAATGGATAGGCTGAAGAACCAGATGTCGCAGTGGAATGAAGCCATTTACAAGGAGGACGCAGAACCCGTATATGTCGACTTCGCTTTGCAGGAGTACGCAAAAGCAGACGCCAAGTTATCGAAACTTGCGGAATCAGTGCGGAGGCAGAAGGCAGTCATGGGTGTCGAAGACAAGGCGAACCTAGCGAAGCTGGTGAAGAGCAAGTACATCCAGACTCGCACCAACGCCGCCGCCGCAAAAACAAGGTTGCGCAATCGCTTGCAGCAGAGGAAGTTTGAGCTCGACAGAGTTGAGCGTCACTTCCATCGAAACAAAGCAGGTCACGTATTCCGTTGTCGGCTTATGGCAAAGGTCTGAAATGACTTCAGATGCTAAAATGACGACTCACATCGAGGATGCTGTGCTACGCCGCGACCGAAGTATCAAGGATGTGTGCAGGCTATACAACAGGCTCTGCAAAGAACTGGAAGAACTCATCCGTCTTGGTTGTGCTCCACGCAATGCAATTGCTCCTAGAGAAATCATTGAGCAGGACATATGGGCATTGGATGTCGATGCTGAAATCTGGCTTGACGTTGGCCTGATGGAGGCAGACGAGGAAACAGAGCCGCCACTGTGGATGAAAAGTGACGCAGTTTGTCAGGGTATCCAGGCCATGTTGGAGCAGGACCGCTGTAACAAAGAGGAGCCGCGTTTGTTTCATGAATGTCAAGCTTTGCGCTGGTGGATGGCCGAGGAATGGGAAGTGGTGACGCGCGGAATGAAGTTGGCCGCGGAAGACGGTAGGTGCCAGTCGCCGTTGCACACAGTATTCGACTCTGTTTGACCTTATCCCTCTGCAGGTGAAGCTGCGATTGTTTATCAGTTCGAGCTTCGCAAGTCTGAATTGACAAAATTGGCTGCAGCATGGGAGAAACCGCTACGTCAGGTCCCGTATCCCCCATCCGGGTTGCCAGCATGGGGCCCGTCTGAGGAAGATCTGCTCCAAGTCCGCATCGAGGACATGTTTGCTAGAACGTCGGTTGGCAGCTGGAAGGAGCCTGATACGCCATCATATCAAGAGGACATCACATCAGACAGCGACTCTGGGACAGATACCGAATACTTTCCCTACGACGAACTGGACACCTTCGAGCGTGCCGGTGATTGGCGGGAGCTTCAGGGTCTCTCAGCGCACATGGACTATCCCGATTGGCTTTAGACAGACACATGGTCCTTTACGAATCTACAAACTATCCCCTTTTGCACTACGATGATAGGCTGGCTACCAGACACGCTCTGCACCAGCTCTGTAAGGGCGTATTTTTGCGCTTTTTACAGAGTTTACTCTTGAACCACTCGGTGTATCGTGTCGCGGTTGACAGTGTTGCGTTCAGTAAGACTTAAGGGTCTACTGCCCAGTCGACGACTGTGGATAGTGTCGACGATAGCAAGGCAGTCAGACCACTACTGTGGAATTGGTCTTATGAGTCTATACCAGGCTCAGGGCTATTAGTGACGAACACTTGGACCGCGACAATTCCCCAAAAGGGATCTTTTGTTGCGGTGACTCCTCAAAAGGGTCATTCTCTGCAGGTGGGAACTTGGGCTGAAAGGCTGAGCAATGCGCGACGTTCTCAACATTACAACTACTACTGGACAGGACTTGGCGTTACAAGATTGAACCAATCTTGTCGCGGCAACTCCCGGTTTTGAGTTGGGCGTTTCCTCAGATCGTTCCACGACGACGACTTGTCACATGTCAGGATCCATTCAATCACGGGACACTGTGGACGCGTCGCGGTGACACTTCCAAGTGTCACGGCGAGTCGCGCCCATACCCAAGTACACTAAGACCGACACGGTGAAATGCTGAGGGCGTGCTCACAAGTGAATCTACTATGAAGGTAAACCCAAATATAAACACGTTCACACTCCTCGTAATCAGCTTCTCAGTGTGTGAAAGATGTGAGGGCTTCGGGGTGGACAGAACACCAGTATCACAACTCTCAATAGACGCAGATCAATAGTCGCGGAAGACGAAGTCGACGACAAGAATTTGTATAAAGTAAACAATGGTGTCTCAACCAATATCTTCTATACGAACACAACCAACACTAATCCAATCCACAACCAACAATATAACAAGTCAGAACTTAATATGGAGTATTAAGATCCCTTGTAGCGACAGCGTCTAGATGGTGACGCAAAGCCCAAATACCGAGTCGACGCACTGCCAACCGATACAACCAATATACTGAGTCGACGCACTGCCAACTGACAAAACCAAAAGTACTGAGTCGACGCACTGCCAACTAGTAAACCAAAATGCCGCGTCGACGCACTGCCAACTAACAGCCAATATCCAATGTCCAAAACCCGAGCACAACTTGTCGACGCACTGCCAAGCAAGAAGTGTGGAACCAAAGTTCTCAAGTCGACGCGCTGCCAACTGACCAAAACAACCCGAGCACAACTAGTCGATGCACTGCCAAGCTAGAGGTGTGGAACGATCTCAACAAAGCCCAAAGGCAACGACACTAAATGCCGCGACAATACCAGATGCGGCGAATCCGACTTTCTGATATCTCAAATCAAACTCAAATCACAGTAGCTACAAGTGCTCAGGCAGCAACTCGTCGCGACCGGGCAGGGGTAGCAGAACTTCTTAGGGTGGAATCACGCGACACGCAAATTGTACAAAACAATCTGAAATGAGAGTGATTCACAGTCCGGGGGAAAGCTTTTTTTATACAAAGAAACGACGTGCTACTTATACTGTCTACGATGATGCTTAGTAAAGTCCTGTACAACTGCATAGTAGCTACGCTATCTAAGATCAGTTTCCTTTTAGAGTAATTGGAAAGTTGGACGATCGGACAGGTCCTGAGTGATCAGGACCCCGCCCCATTGTCCATATGATACTTTTGATGTGGGCCAACCCACCGCGTCATACTTTTGGAATACGATGATAGGCTGGCTACCAGACGCGCTCTGCACCAGCTCTGTAAGGGCGTATTTTTGCGCTTTTTACAGAGTTTACTCTTGAACCATTCAGTGTATCGTGTCGCGGTTGACAGTGTTGCGCTCAGTAGGACTTAAGGGTCTACTGCCCAGTCGACGACTGTGGATAGTGTCGACGATAGCAAGGCAGTCAGACCACTACTGTGGAACTGGTCTTATGGGTCTACACCAGGCTCAGGGCCATTAGTGACGAACGCTTGGACCGCGACCATTCCCCACAAAGGGATCTGTTGTTGCGTCGACTTCTCAAAAAGGGTCATTCTCTGCAGATGGAACTTGGGCTGAAGGGCTGAGCAATGCGCGACGTTCTCAATAATAGAACTACTACTGGACAGGACTTGGCGTTACGAGACTTAAACCATCTTGTCGCGGCAACTCCCGGTTTGGAGTTGGACGTTTCCTCAGATCATGCCACGACGGCGGCTTGTCACATGTCAGGATCCATTCGATCACGGGACATTGTGGACGCGTCGCGGTGACGCTTCCAAGTGTCACGGCGAGTCGCGCCCATACCCAAACACACTAGAAACCGACACGGTAAGATCCGTGAACCGAACCATGTGGGGGACGACTGGCGTGCCTAGGGCCATACGGCTTCTCGGGGCGCCCACGTTGGTCTCACTTGCCAAGACATACCCGTTGGCCAATCCAGCACGTCGTATTCCAAAAGTATGACGCGGTGGGTTGACCCACATCAAAAGTATCATATGGACTATGGGGCGGGGTCCTGATCACTCAGGACCTGTCCGATCGTTCAACTTTTCAATTACCCTAAAAGGCAACCGATCTTAGATAGCGTAGCTACTATGCAGTTGTACAGGACTTTACTAAGCAGCGTCGTAGACAGTATAAGTAGCACGTCGTCTCTTTGTATTAGGAAGCTTTCCCCCGGACTGTGAATCACTCTCATTTCAGATTGTTTTGTACAATTTGCGTGCCGCGTGATTCCACCCTAAGAAGTTCTGCCACCCCTGCCCGGTCGCGACGAGTTGCTCCCTGAGCACTTGTAGCTACTGTGATTTGAGTTTGAGTTGAGACATCAGAAAGTCGGATTCGCCGCATCTGGTTTAGTCGCGGCATTTAGTGTCGTCGCCTTCGGGCTTTGTTGAGATCGTTCCACACCTCTAGCTTGGCAGTGCGTCGACTAGTTGTGCTCGGGTTGTTTTGGTCAGTTGGCAGTGCGTCGACTTGAGAACTTTGGTTCCACACTTCTTGCTTGGCAGTGCGTCGACAAGTTGTGCTCGGGTTTTGGACATTGGATATTGGCTGTTAGTTGGCAGTGCGTCGACGCGGCATTTTGGTTTACTAGTTGGCAGTGCGTCGACTCAGTACTTTTGGTTTTGTCAGTTGGCAGTGCGTCGACTCAGTATATTGGTTGTATCGGTTGGCAGTGCGTCGACTTGATATTTGAGCTTTGCGTCGCCATCTGGACGCTGTCGCTACAAGGGATCTTAATACCTCGTATTAAGCTCTGACTTGTTATATTGTTGTTTGTGGATTGGATTAGTGTTGGTTGTGTTCGTATAGAAGATATTGGTTGAGACACCATTGTTTGCTATATATAAATTCTTGTCGTCGACTTCGTCTCCGCGACTATTGGATCTGCGTCTATTGAGAGTTGTGATACTGGTGCTCTGTCCACCCCGAAGCCCTCGCATCTTTCACACACTGAGAAGCTGATTACGAGGAGTGTGAACGTGTTTTATATTTTGGTTTACTTTCATAGTAGATTCACTTGTGAGCACGCCCTCAGCATTTCAACGACGTGCTGGATTGGCCAACGGGTATGTCTTGGCAAGTGAGACCAACGTGGGCGCCTCAAGAAGCCGTATGGCCCTAGGCACGCCAGTCATTCCTCACATGGTTCGGTTCACGGATCTAGCCATGTCGGTCTTAGTGTATTTGGGTATGGCCACGACTTGCCGTGACACTTGGAAGTGTCACTGCGACGCGTCCACAATGTCTCGTGATCGAATGGATCCTGACATGTGACAAGTCGTCGCCATGGCATGATCTGAGGAAACGTCCAACCCAAAACCGGGAGTTGCCGCGACAAGATTGGTTCAATCTTGTAACGCCAAGTCCTGTCCAGTAGTAGTTGTATTATTGAGAACGTCGCACATTGCTCAGCCCTTCAGCCCAAGTTCCCATCTGCAGAGAATGACCCTTTTTGTGAAGTCGCCGCAACAAAGATCCCCTTTTGGGGGATTGTCGCGGTCCAAGTGTTCGTCACTAATAGCCCTGAGCCTGGTATAGACTCATAAGACCAATTCCACAGTAGTGGTCTGACTGCCTTGCTATCGTCGACACTATCCACAGTCGTCGACTGGGCAGTAGACCCTTAAGTCCTACTGAACGCAACACTGTCAACCGCGACACGATACACCGAGTGGTTCAAGAGTAAACTCTGTAAAAAGCGCAAAAATACGCCCTTACAGAGCTGGTGCAGAGCGCGTCTGGTAGCCAGCCTATCAACGGCTAGATCCGTGAACCAAACCATGTGAGGAACGACTGGCGTGCCTAGGACCATACGGCTTCTTGGGGCGCCCACGTTGGACTCACTCGCCAAGACATACCCGTCGGCCAATCCAACACGTCGTATTCCAAAAGTATGACGCGGCGGGTTGACCCACATCAAAAGTATCATATGGACAATGGGGCGGGGTCCTGATCACTCAGGACCTGTCCGATCGTCCAACTTTTCAATTACTCTAAAAGGAAACTGATCTTAGATAGCGTAGCTACTATGCAGTTGTACAGGACTTTACTAAGCATCATCGTAGACAGTATAAGTAGCACGTCGTTTCTTTGTATAAAAAAAGCTTTCCCCCGGACTGTGAATCACTCTCATTTCAGATTGTTTTGTACAATTTGCGTGTCGTGTGATTCCACCCTAAGAAGTTCTGCTACCCCTGCCCGGTCGCGACAAGTTGCTCCCTGCGCACTTGTAGCTACTGTGATTTGAGTTTGATTTGAGATATCAGAAAGTCGGATTTGCCGCATCTGGTTTAGTCGCGGCATTTAGTGTCGTCGCCTTTGGGCTTTGTTGAGATCGTTCCACACCTCTAGCTTGGCAGTGCGTCGACTAGTTGTGCTCGGGTTGTTTTGGTCAGTTGGCAGTCCGTCGACTTGTGGATGCATTGAGTGAGAGAAGGAGATCAATGGATCATCTTGTGAGGGAGAGAGCCGAAGAGCAGG